CGGGTAATCGTTCGTTGGCTATTGCCTGAGGAAATTGCTATCAAGAAGACCACAAAGTCTTCGTTCTTGCCAGAAGAAAATAGAACACGGGTAATTAGCCAGGACTGGATTGCATTACAAGAATGAACGGAATAATCGTACAACATGGCTCGAGTTTATCAACGCGCCAAGGTAAGCATCCTCGTTATACCAGAGAAACTAAAAGAATGTATTCGAGATGATACGACAGAAGAACGAACGTACAGCAGTTGAAGCAGCCGAGCATACACGATTTTCATCTGAATTTTTTCAATAAATCATTATCCATTTTTCATCCATTGTATACATATCTAATAATATCTATTAATTATACAATCAATGAATAGCGATAAATATTGAAGAACATTACTTGTGCAATGAACTTTTGAGACTTCTGTAACTTCCTATTTTTTCTTTTTATACAATATATATTCGCTCGAATCTAATTTGAACAATTAACATGTCCGGATCGAGGAAGCTATTAATCGAATTTGGAAGCGTCGTTCAGCTTAAAAGTTGACGGCCGAAATAAAATCGTCCCTTGTTCGACTCCGAATCCTTCAAGGGAAGAAAGAGCAATTCGTTGATTGTTGGATACCGCTTGTAGAGATTCCGTTTCTCTGCGTAAAGAAGAGAGCAAGACTCCAGGGAATCGTGATGAACGAAGAAAACCACTCTCTTAATTTGGTCGAGAGATAGAGGGTACAGCATTGGTATCGAGTCATTGAACCGAGTAACCATTGGATCCATAGTATCGTTCTTAGACTAGATCCTCAGCCAAACCCGACCGGGGATCGGTAGAATGCAACACAATAAATTCTTTCCTCCTTTCCTTTTCTCGAAACGCGATGGTAGCTCTTTCCACGGGTTTTTGACGCCCGTGTTCCTCTTATCGCGACACGCGGCACCCCTCAATTAAGAGGTGCTGCTCGTCCACGAATGTTCTACCAGCCCGACCTCTCCTTCTCTCTCCCTGAATCCACTCCTGGACTACGGGAACCAGTGGGACCACACAGCGGGAAGCTACCTGCGTGGCTAACCTATCGGCCGGATCGCGCCCATAAAAATTAAACGTCGCCAGATAAATAAACGTCAATCGAGAATTAAGATAGGCGCCGCCGGTAGCGTGCCTTCTCGTCCTCGCTTTTTCTCCTCTAAGCTTCGCCCGTTAGGAATTTTTCCTCGTCGATAGGATAACTCGAACCCTTCCCACGAATTTCTCTCTCCTTTCTATTTTTTTCTCTCGTTCAATATCGATTTATCCCGACCTCCCATTTCGATTTTACTTTAAAAATTCAAAACGTACATAAGATACATACTATAAAATAGCAGCTTGCAATGTTATTTGAGGGGGTAGCAAATCTTTACTTAGTTCATTTCAATATGTGTACATACATGGCCACACAAAGTTGAATCATCCAAGAAGTAATAAATAACATACGTAAGATACAGCAAAGTAAAATAAAAACTTGGAATATTGAAGAAGGTAGCAAGTCTTTACTTACAATTAGTTCGTTTGAATGTATGCTACCTAAGGATTGCATTCTCTGTTCCACAGATACAAGAAGTAATAAATGACAGAGAAAATTACACTAACTACCTAATACTGAGGAGAATGTCTCGGTTCTTCAATTGATTTAAACGGGACGTCGCCGCGTCGTCTCTCGCGAGAGAATTAAAGCCTCCCTTCTAAAAGTGGTATTTTAAAGGAACGCGTTTGTCAAGCGTTTGTATTCGAGTCAAGGATCCTTTGAATGGTACATGGTATAACGAATGTGATCTACGCTCGAAATCTCGGGTAAAAAGGCAAAGTGTACGCACACGTTATCGTTCGAGATTCCTCGGGAGAGTGTTGTCATCGTAAATTACGCGTTATATTGTATTCCGTTTAAGGGTGTTCCATTCATTGATAAATCCTAAAAGGTGAATCGACTCGCGTTTGAAAATTGTTTGATGCATGGGAATGAGGACGCAAACTACGTTAATATAGAAACGTCATTGCGCGAACAATCGCTAATCATTAACAGTTATCACAGTAAGAACTATCACGATTAGACTCCGAATTATTATGCATTCATAAATGACTTGATTGTGCAACGTGTAGAGATGTTGCACGTAATGCATGAAAATATGCAATATACCGAAAGTGAATGTATATTGCAATCCTTGTGGATGATATGAATTCTATTTGAAATGAATTTTTAAATTGAAAAATATTTTGTTTTGCATAAAAATCCTCAGTCATACCATCATTATTACAATGAATCATTTTCAATAATTAAATTAAATAATATTGTACGTATTTAATTTCTTTTCTACTGACGAAAACTGTCATTTAAGTGCTATTAAAGTATCGGCCACGCGTGTTCGCGTTCGTACAGTCTGAAACGCTGAACGTGCTTTGTGCATGTTCGCCGAGGGTGGGCCAAAAGGTCGTATATTTCTTGACGCGGGCTTCCCAGGGCGAGACCTGTCCTCGCCCGGGGTAGGACCAGATAAATGACGACGTCCGGCGGATTGTCACCCGAAACGACCGGTTAACACATCGCCGCCCCTGTCATCGATCCGCAGCGACCAATAATGCACCCGGCACCAGCCACTTACGTCGGTACCTGCCGACTGTTCAACCTTTTCCCGACCCGTTCCGATTCGGCCGTGCGGCCGTTCGGATATCATTCTGGCCGAGAAACGTGGAAACGGAAGCGGCTACCGATGTTCTACTTGTACAGAAGCTACTTTTAAATAATCTCCTCGGACAAACATTGTACAATAATAGAAAAACTGCAAATCATACTTTTCAATATAGATTTCAATACTGATTTTCAATAAAGTATAATTTTCTACTCGTAAGGACCGTGTTACCATTTAATTGACTGAATCAATGTGAGTCTTGTAATTTCATTGCAAGCGAGATCAAGATTTGATGCGTTAATTCGTTACACTTTAAACGCTAACCATTCTTGATATATTCACTCGGACGATTCATGTATTTCCAGCATTTTATGTTTCGTTAATAACGGACAACATTGATATTTGTTTGATTGCGGACGTTGCTCGATACGTAATCCCGGTTTAAACTGCTTGAAGTAACCTCCGCGGCGGCCAACCGTAATTACAACGTTTCGTAAACGAGCACCGGAGATTGCGCCGGATTTCGGGTAAAAAACTCGACCACGGTGAAAGCCCGTTAATTGTTTACGGTGCAGCCTTGGTCCCGAGTCTCGAGGAGGTTTACGATGCCACGCCGAAGCATAATATAATCAGACTTTGTCGTCTTTACGACGCGGTATCGTTTTTATGGGAGCTCGTAAGCGCCAGGTGGAACGCAAATTAGATCCACGTCGGTTTGGACCTGTGCCAGTTCCCTGATATCCCCGATCGACAGTGGTTCTCCGCATACATTAAAATGCCACTCTTTATCTGTCTCTCTCTCTGTGTATGTGTGTGGCATCAATTACGCGTATTCCACATTGAAAATCAGAATCAGAAAGTCTTGTTTTAATTAATCTGTCTTCGCATAAATTCGCATTGACGCAAGTAGGGTGCAAAAAACAATAGATCCCCTATGGTGGTATTTCGAAGGGAGCGGCCAGCAATTTTCAGGTATCGCCAATAGTCGGATATAATCTGATCATCGATCGTTCGGCTTGGAATCCTCCACGCGATCACAATAGATACGATCGACCGTATAATCTTTCGATCATTGAGTAGCAGGGGATAAAAACGAAAGAAAAAAAGAAAGAGGTAAAAAAACAAGGAGGGTCTTCCTCCTAGCAATGAAGCCTTTAATTAAGGGAACATATTGCCACTAATATCCGACGGACAGTGTCAATCTGTCAGACTACCAAAAGGCACCGATCTGATAGCCGGCCCTAGAGAGCAGTTCAGCCTATTGGACATGCTGTCTTCGATTTAGTTGTCGTGCTCGATCACCCGGAATTAATACATCGGACGGGTAACTAAGCGAGCCACGCGGGGAGAGACAGGTTCGAGCTCTGGTCAACTCATCTCCTCCCGGCTTGTCTACTCTTGAATGCGCACAGGCTAACTCAACCGCGTGAGAATTTTTCCAGAGCACACGAGCTACATGTACGTACGTATGTATGTATGTACAGAAAAGTAGGCCCAGGTTCGTTCCTCTATATTTAGGTTTTTTCAATCGCTCTATCTAAATTCTTTTCTCTTATGTGTCGTTCATTACAACAAAATGTCTTTTTCTTATGTACGAAAATAAAATTCTATTTGCTTTTGGGAAATATTCACAGATGCCAGTTGAGGAGTACGCTTGAAATCTCGTACTTAAGTACATGATTAATATGGATAAATGATTTCAATAACACAGCTCAGTGAAAACCTAAGTGAAAACCACATGCACGTATCACATGTCCATAAAGCAGATGAAAAAGGAAAGGGGAATAATCAAGCAAGAATGTTAATCGAAGCTGATGTAATAAGGATATCACGAAGGAAATGTTTGTAATTTGCAATATTTACATCGTTGACTAAAAGACGAGAAACATCTAATCTGTACGTTCACATGCGCATACTTAAACAATTTCTGTGATTAATGGAATGCGAATGTACATCGTTAGGCAACCACGTCGACAAAAACTTCTCGTCCAGATTACTTTCCCTCGCTCTCGATAGGCCTCATCGAGGCTAATTTGAAAATAATGATGCGCGTTCGTCAGCTACTAACTCGATCCAGCTTCGACGCGATTCATTCTAAATTGAGTGGTTATACCTTCCGTTCGATCAACGCCGTTTATTCGTAACGAATCGAGCTGCCAGCCTGAATGGGAGTGTGTAATCGACATCCGGTTCGCCTAATCCCGAAACGCTTTGTAATCATTAGCTCATTCGAATTCGCGGTTCAACATACGAATCAAACATATTAGACACGCTTTTACTCGTATCAACTTCAACATTATTCACTGCTTCTGTATAAAAAAAAAAAAAAAATAGAAAACGTCATTACTTACCGCGCAGTAAAATTTTCCGGAGGGACCTCCTAATAGTTGTACAATTCCATCTACGATTCCTGAACTGGAACTGACACTCCCTGGTCCCAACCTGGACACCTCTTGCAATTTCTTTTAACAGAGATGGTTCCTTGCGACAAATGTCTGCCATCTTGCCCTTCAGTCTTCTAGTCTTCTTGCAGATCAGCATGGGATCCATCACCACTTGATTACCAACGGTCCTGCGAACATACACGGATATCATTCCTTTATGGTGTTCAATATGGAGGATAGCATATTTTTTCAGGAGAACGTCGCATCGTGTACTTCTGAGGACAAGTACCAAGAGCTCATTACTATAAGTAAATCCGGTGTACCGATCGGATTCGAGTCCGAGACATAGTCTACGGGGAGTAAAGAACAAGAGAGTGAAGAAGCCAGGAACGGACATAGTGAAAGAAAACGAAGAGGAGGCAAAAACGGAGATGAACCGAAAGGAACCGCGGACGGCGAGAACCGCGAGTTCTCTCCTTCGGGACCGGAAAGAAGAGGAACAAGAACACCGAGGCGGACGACGAACACCGGGGGTCTGACTGTTGGCAAAAAAATTCGAGAAAGAAGAGGCTGAACTGGAGAAGAAACGAAACTGGAAAAGGGGCGACAGTCGCAAGTCGTAGAGGATGGAAGAAAGAAGAGATACGGGAGAAGGAGTCCGAGCGACCTTCGTTACGAAACGTTAATTAAGATCATTAGTTCTGCGTCGGTAGGATGCCAGGGCGCGTACACGACGGCCTCTCGGGAATGCATCGACCTTAATGGCAATAATTCCGTTAAGGACGGTTGCTCGCGCCTGTGTAAGTACACTAAACGTCGCGTCGCCTGGTGCAAACGGCGGCGGCTCGCTGCACTTTTCGTTCCGCAGCCGCCGGAGAGAGGAGAGGAGAGGAGAAGTCCCAAAGGTAATACCGGGGAACGGGACAAAACCGGGAGAGTCACCGTGCGCTCGGTGACATCGTCATTTGGGCGAGGATTCCATACCTCTGGACGATGCGACGACCGTAACAGCGAAGTCAAGAACGTTCGATACGCGGACAAGAATTCCCGAGAAACTCGCGAACCAGAAACCATCTCGAGGAACAGAGAAAGAGGAAGAGAGAGCCGGTTACGTTCCTCGAGACATAAGAAAAAAAGAACGCTAAACGTTGCTCTCGTTCCCAGACAAAATATGGCGCAAGTAATGTCTCGTGGGAGACGATGCAACCTGGTGAACAACGTACAGGTACTACATTCGAATCGACGATAGTCTTAATGTTTCTTCTTTTCGATATTCCATAACGGAACGCGACATCTATTCGTAAAGTAAACCCGGAACCGGATACACACACATACCTGCTGTCGTATCGCAAAAGAATGCTGGTACCTATCTTTAAAGTTCCATAAATTTCCATGACATGTTCAGAGTAAATTAAATTTACCTTATTGTGTCCACGTCAGATAAGAATGAATGCAAATATTCTGCATGCAATTTAAAAAAAAAAAAAGGCGTTTTAATTATATCTTCTAAGTTAGTTCTTTCAAAACAATTTGAGGTAATTTTATTCGCATCATTGAAATTTTTCTTTGACGACATTTCGCAGAATCGTTTTCCGCTCGCGGTTTCCCGGCTCGCGCACAAATTCCGCAGCTCGTTGCTGCACATCGGATAATGGACAACCGACATAGATACGTATAAACGACAGGCCTTCCGGGAAGAGGAAAGTTATGACACGACTTTCTCGTTGGTCTCATGCTAGTCAAAGGTCTTATCGTAACCACTGGCAAACGAGGAACCAACTCTTACGCATGTCTCTAAAAATAGCTGACACATCTTCGTAGGTACGAAGTAATGTTGTCGAACCATAAAACGCTCCCTAATCGATGTCCAAGGAACTTTAAGTTTCCTGTTAAGTTTAAGGTTTGACAACGGTGAGAAAATTGTTTTCCCTCGCAACGAACATGTTCGTGAATCATAAATGAAGGAACTTGGAGAAGAAAAAGAGGTGAACCGAATTTTTGATGCGTGACACTTTCCCAGCCGCATAGTTCAAAGGATGACTGGCAAAGAATATTTGCGCGTGGCTTCGTTAACGACCATGCGGCTACTAACCACCCTAGTAAAATAAACGGTCAGAATCGCGGTTCTGTCGATACATCTCTTACCCGTTGCGCAAATAGCGGTTACGACGTTATTAATGCAAACAGGTCGCGTCGTTTGACGATCCACGTATCGGTTCGTCTTACCGGTGCCGTTGCTATTAATACATCGCGTAAACTCGCGGTCAGTTTAAAGGAATTGGCTTGGTCAGGAACTGTCTTCAGATTCTGAGTATAATTTATTTTCGTGAATCCCGTTTACACGAATGGAGCACGAGCATGAAATTTTAAATGACACACTGTCAACGTAAACAATTTATTAAGTGTTATGAATTTTTGACTCAATAACAAATTATCGTTATTGGTTTCTCATTTGATAAAATAATTTGAAGAAACTAGGGTTAACATGGTTAAATCTCCGTATGCATGTGTACAGTTATTCAGCTGAAAAATCAACATAACGCTCATAGTTAGACGACAAGAAAAAGACTAGCGACATAAAAGTAGAGATAAGGAAGAATCCTCAAGATCCTTGGAATCCTCGTAAGTAGAGATGAGGGCTGAGATGAGACTAGAAGAAGGGGTTATCCTCGCGTACGTACGCGGAGGCAAAAAAAGAACCGCAGGATGGACACGTCGCGTCGTCGTCGCGGACGAAAAGCGTGGAGAGGCCGGTTAGGGCGGTCGACTTATTTATTGCCTCATTAGACGCACTCACTTTGCTCGAAGGCAGCTCCACGCTGTCTGCTCGGATAGACAGTGACGAGAGAGCAACGTTGCTGTTCTCCCCGAGCCTCGCTTGCTCGCTCGCTCGCTCGCTCTCTTCTCCCCCGGCTATCGTCCCAGTGTTTCTACATACCCGGATCGGAAAGGGAGAGAACGACCCTCGATAGGGAACAACAGAAAAAGAGAACGGGGGCCCTGGTTCCTCCTGGGTAGCCGAAAGCGAACTCGGGAGAAGAGAGAAACGAAATGAGAGGAGCTGGAGAACCAGCAGAAGAAGAACGGTCGATGGGTCCACCGGTGAATTCCTCGAATATCTCGCACTGTCCGGACGAGACCCTCGAGGATAAGAAGAAAACGCGACGAAAGTTGGGAATCGAGTTTTCTAGGACATCGAAGATAGGGTAATCCGATCGAATAAGAGATCCAGTGAGTCTTAATATTCGCTCATTGAGTATCTACCGAGTGAGAGTAAACGACTTCCTAATTAAGCACTGACATGTGTCACATTATAATTGTTCATTTATAATTGATAATATTAAACAGAATCTCACGCTATTGGCAATGAATATGTTATAAATATCTTAATATATTAGTGAACACGTTTTTATAAACTGATGCATGTGCAGGGGAGGATTGGAGACAAAATGTGGAACGATCGGAAGTCGAAAGTCACATCAGTTCGCGCTGGGCTTAAATACGCGCACTTAATCTAAATCATAGTCTTGTTGCTCGACGACACGATCGACGCACAAGACACGGGGCGGCGATGGAATACGAAAATGACCAGCGCAAGCAAAGAAACTAACCGCGGTTGCTTCTTCTTTTGCACTCTGTTCCAAATTGAAATTTCTTTTAAATTCCTCCTCCATACAATCATCCCTCTTTATAATCTTTCCAATCTGTCTAATCAGACCAATTAATGTCACTTTCCTAATTGATTCATAAAACCGTATTTAATTGTTAAAAAAATATAGTTTTTTAATAAGTGTAATAGACAGCAAAATAGATAAAGTGTGACGAAGAAACTAATATCAGTGGCCTGAGGAATGCTGGAACAAATTGGTGGCAAGGGTTAGCCAGTCTAGATTGCGTTTCTCTGAAGAATCTCGAAGAATTCGTGGCGCGGCACTCATTCCGTCTAACCGGACCGAAACGAAGGGAGGAAAAAAAAGAAAGAGAACGCCTCTATTTCCGCGTCAGATTAATCGTACTCGGTTGCTGAGCAAAAGCTTTAACGAATTATTCGTGGCACGCGGCTTAATGAAACCCGATCGAATCGGAGAGTGGAGGCTAATAAAATTAGAGTAAAGCTTGGATAACCCGGAGATCTTAAAATTCCGTGCATAGCCGGTCGGCGCGGTGCACGCGCCATTGGAACAATTTCAAATTCTTCTCCCCGGAACGTCTAGCGTCGGGAAACGCGGACTACGCCCCCGTTGCACGGCATTCCACGAAAATCGATCTCTTCTACCCCTTCGTGCTTTTGTCTCGCACGGGACACGCGTTCCAGTCGCGTTAATCAATTTATAACTTTTATCGTTATCCCCCTGGCGCTCGTTTTAACCTAATCGCTCGTTGCGTCGCGTCGTCTGAACTCGCGGCACGCCATTAACTAAACCAAATGAACCGCTCCGTGATCGTATAAATCTCTGACAATCTCGTACAATCTCTCGGTTCCTCGCGTGTCCAGCAGCCACGAAGCGAAAGAACAGATTGATGCCATTGTGGTCCAGACGTGTTTTGACTTGGCCATCATAGAAGCAGAAGCACTATAATATTTTACATTGTACTGCATGTTCGTGTTTATACTCTTCAACCAATATAATTTTATGCGTTGGAGGAATCAATTAAATTAGCTTTTTAAGAAAATGATGCTGCGCGATTACTGAAATCGACTAAATAATCTGTTTAACGATTGTGTTTGTTAAACGGAATATTAATTATTTAAATACGCTCATATTAACGATGACATTGTTTAAATCTCAAATGAATAATAAGACAAAAGAGATCTCGGTTTAGTAACAAGCCAAAGGATAGAGTACACAATTCTTGTCTTGTGCGCAGAATGTTTCAGAATCTCAGTAATGTACTTTAAACAGTAAATCAGAACCGGGCTAAATTATTTCTGTTCCTGGTGTTGGAATATCAAGATCTTGGTTGAGAATGATCGAGTGCGTTCACAGGTTTAGGGTTGAAAATTAAATTCATCGTGAGGTCGATTCACAAATCGTAACTGACCCTAGATAAATAAAAATTATAACCGGTGTCAAATACATAATTAACATTTAGCTAGTTTTAAAGGTATCAGAAAGGAAAATCAAACACATAAGTAATGAAAAGAAGACTAGATTATTGTTTCTAGATATGCACAAAATATTGCACGTGTTACGTTTCTGGTCGCTCAATCATATGCGGTCAGCAAATTTTGCAACGGGAATAAACAGTTACGTTCTAGAACGGAGACGGAAGGGATTGCCGGAAAGTGAAAAAGGGAAAAGGGAATTTTCCATGTTTACATTGGCACCGGCGCGGTGTGCATTCATGCTCAAACGCAAAGGTCGAACTTCTCCAGCCGCAAATAGACAAACGAGCGCAAGAGGGTACTAATCCACGAAGCGAAACTTCGGGAAACGTTTTCACGACGAAAATAAGCATTACGAGCAGAGGCTGACCGAAATACAGCATTGGGAGCAAACACATCCACTCCGGTACCACTCGCTGTTTACTACCGCAGACGCCTTGTACGGGATATTGGTACGAAATTTAGGGTACTTTCTGCCATAATCGATTCTGAGTTGGCAAAAGAAAAGGAAGGAAATTGAATTTATAAGTTCTGTACATGGAAAAGTAATTATGAAAAATCATCAATGATAAAGATTTGTTATGTTTTTACGTATAATCTTATGCAACAGAGTTTTAGTGTTATCGGCATTGTCGTTCAAACTATTTAATTGACATCTTGAAATGTAAAACTAGGGATTGGAAAATAACTGTTCTAAACTGTTACACATCGGTTCTGATCGAGACGGTTAATGAGAGCCGAAAAAATGTCATAATTGTTCGGTTTTTTAATCTCACGCAACCTGCCTTTCGAACCGACGTCATAATTCTTTTCAACCCTTCCGTTAAACGGCATTTCGAACGTACTGTTGTCGAATTTCAATTTAGAAAATCCATACGCAGTAGACACAAGAAAAATTCGCAAGGCAGGTTGCGTGAGATTGCGCAACGCACGCGAACCGGTCATCCACCACCGCGGAGACCAAATCTTAAAGCGGAACGAGGTGACCCTGTGTCACCGTCACCAGTCACGCGGTCCACGGTCCGCATGTGCACCTCTTATGATTATGATTATACACCGCGGCGGCGGCGGCGTGTGTTGTATAGTGAAGAGAGAGGCCAGGTGAGATAGAGTGCATCTGGTGGGAGTATCGAGTTGTCCAACCAGCAGGAAGGTAGCTGCGGACTGCCCACTGCGGCCCATTGGCCGGACTATACGCGACCCGAACGAACGCTATCGTATTATCGGCAACTGCTCGTTACGATATCCGCCGATGCCTGAACACCTTCGTGTCACCTGAGCGAAACAACCCGCACCGTACATCCAGAAAACAAGCATGTATTTATTAAGTACACATTGACACAGTACATGTACACGCAGATTGACAAAAATTACTTAAGGGGGTAAACTCCGATAGCGACGTGATAAGACAGAATCTCAACGTTTCCCACTAAACTGACCAAAAGTATAGGTTTACAATATTCGATCCTACGTCCTTATTTCTCTGAGGATCAATACAAAATTATCCTCAACATTCAGTTTGAAGTACATTCTAGGACATTTAAGAAAATAACTTACAAAATGAAGCTAAAATCGTAGATGCTGTGCTTCGGATTTTAAGTAATTTTATACCAATTTGAAATTTCATTTAAACTGAACATTATTTGAGAAATGGAAATATAAAATCAATTGACACGAACCCATATTTTTCATTATATTTGCTTGGTTTCTGGTAAAGCAGAGTAAAAACCATCAAAATTACGAAAAACCACGTGACTAGTCTAGCCAGAGATGATTCATGAGATATTGAAAATGGTAATTTAACTTTGCAACAGAGACAATAAATTATGAATGACCTAGCACAGACACACATTATAAGAAAGAGAAAAGATCTAGACAACGATATAGTTAATTACTTTATTTAATTCAAGAATGAATATGCCTTTCAAATCTCCAATTTAAGACTTCGCCAGAATGGATAAAATAAGTGGAGGATACTCCAATGAAATAGTAGCTACTCAGTTCGGCTGTTCCCTAAACTATACTGATCGATCACCGACGCGCTAGGACATTAACAAGTGAATAAGGTCAACGATACGCGCGACGCACGAAGGGAAGTTGTTATAGCGTTTTGTACAGAATGAGACGCAACAGAAGAATGCGAATTCGAATGGTTGCTCTCGATTTTTCTGTTTCGTGGACGGTTCTCGTTCGAAGACGAAGAGAGATCCCCGCGACGTAGAGGAGAAGAACGAAGGAGGGAACCGGCGAGGCAAAACGGGGCTGCTGCCGACTTACAAATTATACGCGCTCAACGAGATTTACGGGTGACGCTTCGAGCGAGACCATTGTCCATCCTCGCTCACTTCTTTACCTCGCTTTACTCTTTTCGTCCACTTCGACTATCTTTGTCCAATCGTCCCGAAGTCTGCGCCACCGAGAAACGGAGTTGGGAGAGCCGGTACTCACGGTAGTAAAATCAGGGAATCTCGATCGAAAAATCTGGTTCCGGTCGGATCACAAATGCTCAGTAGGGAAAACGCTAATCGGATCTCGCGAACTATGGAAAACAACGTGTGAAAAAGGTTCGACGAGAAAAAAGAATCTGTACAAAACATTTCTCGGACCTACTTAAATACCTGTTAAATACCTGTCATCGAAACAAACCAGGAACCTTCTAATGTATTTATCAAACACTCAGTCGTGTGGACGCCCGTGGACAGGTAACCGAGGAAGGTGCGACGGTACGGAGTCGACTTCGCGCAGAAATCCCCTTTAAATCGTTGACAAATATTTGCTCGGCAATAGGACAGGGACCACACCACATTTCGCCACCTTCGCGAGGAAACTAAACGAATCCTTAACGTGTTTCGATAACTTCGAGTGTGCCTGCTCGATGACAACGAACGACTCAATGTACTCGGGGTTCAATGAACAATTGAGTAAAAAATATGAAACAGCGTTGAAAGATCACATGTACTTGGTCGACAGTATGGCAGACGAATGCGAGCACTTTACGCGAACGAAGCAAAAATCGCGTTCAAAAGATGATTCGCCTCTGGATGCTGGAACCTTGGATGGCACGGCAGCGATAACGGTCTATCGTCGTACAAACATTTACATTATAAACTCGGGTACCTACGCACGGAGCGCTGTAGCTACTGAATAATTTGCCGTTCTCCAAGTTACACTTTGGGAGCGCGTAGAGCAGTTACAAGGAACACGTTAAGGTGCGAATCGAGGCTTCTTAAACTTAATAGACATAAATTGAACGTGTTACAAAATTACTGTGTAATTGCATTGGATTTAATCAAATATTAATTGTACAGTATTTCTTCAATAGGACTGTCAGGTGACATAATTTCTTTTTGGTAAGAACAATGGGAAAACATAGTCCATACTAAAAATCATAAAGTGACAATTAAAAGCATTGCTAATTGTATTGACATTTAACTCGAGTTTCAGCTTCGCGTTCCATAACGATTGTCAATCGCGAATGGATGGGAGAGGAGGAAGTAGGAGATTTCCCGGTAACGGTAACGAGCAATTTAACCGAATCGAAATGAAACCGTAAATCTCTGGACAGGTCTTACTTACGAAGGCATAAGTAACTACATACCAAAGGCGGATTTATAGCGTCATTAATCATTCCGCGTGCGCGTAACGTGCCGCGTAATTGATAACCCAGATGACGTACCTCGGAACTGGAGCACTCGTTAGTTCGTCACGTTTGGAAAGTACTGACGTTAACCGCCTCTCTCGAGCACCGAGATATGTTTTTCGCGTAATTGTCGACGTAAATGTGTAATGATTTTAATGGACACGACGTTTTGTTACGATGTTTTAATTTCGATCTCTTTTTCTCCGGAAGAAGAAAACGCACATCTAAATTAACGAAAGTGTAATATGAAATAAAAGGTATTTATTCGTGTGTAAATAATAAGATACTCACGATAGACGAAAGCGAAAAAAGACAGTCGGTACTAATAAACGTTCAACATTTCCCTAATTCAATTATAAGAATTTAGGTTTTAAAGAATACTTAGGTTTAAATAGAAACAGCAGGTGAGATTTGTCAGTTTTCTGCTTTAAAATGATCGTAATTATTGTACATACCAAAAAGAGCCGGCGATGGGGGTGACGAGAAGGAGGCAGATCGCCACGAGAACGAGGCGCATCTCCATCCCCTCCGCCCCTCCGTGTGACTTCGACAATTGCTGTTTGCTTCCCTTCTCTTGCTACCGCGTGTCGTTGGATACCTGAACACGGTCGTTCCAGCGTTGGCGAACGGAAATCACGCCAGTGTCGATAGCAAACGTGAACTGTCCTCTCAGCGGCCAACGAAACCCGTGAAAAATTGATGATTGCCGATGCACGTTGGATCACACGCGTGTTTAAACAAAAAAATTTACTCGACGGTTCCACTTTTTTTCCGTCGATCTCGAAGGAGAAATTCTTTATCGAGCACCCGATCTCCTCGACCGTCCACTCTCGACTACTTTCTCGTATCTGGTGTTCGCTTCTGCCGACACTTCACCGATGCACGATCGTTTTCTTCTTCTTCTTTAGTAGTCGTTGCGCAGCCCTCTTCTTCTTCTTCTTGCTCTTTCTCCAGCCTCTTTCCGTTCCTCTTCTTACTTCGGCTCCTTTCTTGACCGTACTTCGATCAAAGCTGTAGTGGTTCTTTGAAACACACGAACGGATACAAATATTGACCGTGCGGAGTCTTCATGATCTCTCTTTCGCCCGCGCCGGTAGCGGTAACCATGAAAAAGCAATCAAATTTTCTCGTTTGCTTTCATTCGGCCAACCTTAATCTTTTGGGATCGTAAAAGACGATTATCACGAATAACCCAGAAGAGAAACCCTCTCCGCTTCCGGTATCTTGAACTAGATATCCCCCACCCCCCTGCCCCTCACTCCGTTTCTTACTCTCCTTTCGTTCCTCTCCACCTTCTCTCTGCCCTCCACCTAACTGTTCGCTTTTGCCTCCTTTTATTAGGGAACCTGTCTTCCTCGTCAGGTTCTCTCGTCTTCGCTCCGTTCGCTTCTTGGACGGACAGTAAAAGGCCAGGCAGTAGAATTAGAATTTAGGAAACTAGGCTGTTTCCTTTCGGACGGTGGACAAAAACGCGCCGCGTTCCTGCCAGAACTACGTCACTAAGAACTTTGAGTGTTGCCTTACCCCCACCAGAAATTATACTAAGGCAAGGAGTAGAGAAGCCCCACCATTCACCTTTATCTGCTTCTTTTCTCCTTTTCTTTGGTGTCGCTTCGTCTACCGTTTCTTTCTCTCCTCCCTGATCGTATTCGTTTCGCCCCAAGACACCACCGTTACCACCTTCGCACTACACTGTCGACATCGACATCACCACCGTTACGACCGTGTATCAATAATTGTTCTCCATTGAGGGATCACCCTCAAAAATTGTTTTCGTACCAATGTTTCTTTCGATAATGCTTGAGACGAATGAGAAGAACGCGCGAAAGTTCGAAGGATAAGAGTGGAAAACGTGTAAGCTTGCTTACAGTGGACGAAAAGTAAAAGACGAAGAGGGAGAAGGAAACGGAGGAGCAAAAGAGAGAAAGGAAAGGGTGGAGAAGTGTAGGAAGAAGGTCGAAAAGCTCACGTGGTGCGGCGCGATCGGTGCGGAGGTGGAAAGCGGGCTGTTGGTAGGGGAGAGGAGAAGAGAATCGTCTGCTTGTGATCGGAGACGAGGCTCCCGGTAAGAGCAGAGCGTACGAGACTGTTGCAGGCTAGGCAGGTGAGCGCCGCTCGACGGCAGCGAGCCGCAACCAAGCCCCTCTTTTCCTCTTTTGACTCTCCTTCAGGGTCTCGCTTCGGTTCCTCACTGCTCATCACAACCTGTCACCATAGGATTCGCAGAGAGAGGAATCGACGCTATTTTTCGATCTTGTCCATCGAACCGCGTCAAGATTATTAATAGTTATAAATAAATATTAAATAAACGACCTTGCTATAGCCTCCTTTCTTTACTCTATAGTCTTAAGGCAACAACGAGAAGAGCGAGATGCTTTAAACTTGTATAATTAAATGAGAAATGCCTTTCATGAACCTCTAAATCTATTTCTAATGACAAAAGGGGAATCCTTTTCTTTGCTCCGTCTGAATCCATCTTTGAAATGTACAAAACGAATATCAATTACAATCGAGATCTGCTGAAACCTTTTTGGACAAAGTGAACAAACTAAAGAGAATAACATGATCCAAGCTGATCTCTAACTACCTGATCGGTAGAAAGGAGTGGAAATCCTTCCTTTCTCTAACTGAGCACAGCTGACCTAATTGACGGATCGTTTGCCGCCACTATCTGGAGTCACGGGTCAACTGCTTCGTTGACCGAGCCGGTGTCGCGTTGTCCGTTAGTTCGTAGAAACGGCAAGAACCGTTTCGCACTGGACATGAGAACTGTTTTCCTGAATGAGATTTTATATCTTTTAATCATCGACGATTTTTATTTACATTATACATATGTACATATCGTCGATGTGTAAAAGAAAATGGTAATAATTTAAGAATGATTTTCACATTCATTAAGTGACACAATGTCTCACAGACACTTCGGTATGTGAGTCCCCTTATTCTTCCTGCCTGTATCATGGACTGCTGTACCTGAGCAAAGTAAGTTCCAAACGATATTAAAAGTCCAGACAGACGATGTGGTGAAGCAACGAATGAAAGAAAAGGAGAAGTTGTGTAGAAAGAGTAGGAACCGGTGAGGGAGGAGGAGAAAAGAGAAAGGGCGAGCAAGGGGGGTCAGCAGGGGTTCATATTACAGCTCATTTAGCAGCGGGGTTCTCTGCCCCTTCGGCGCCCCGAGATCCTGCTTGGATCAGGCTCTCGCGTTGGACTTATGACTAATTGTAAGACGAGTTTCTTTCGTTTTCACGTAGTCTGAAATCTTTTGCCACCTTCATAAATCTTTTTGTCTGTAGTATACGATTTCATTTTTTTTTAATATCCTATCAACACTGATGCCATAAATGATCATCATATGGGAGTAGAAAAAGTATGATCAAGAATAATTGAAGTATTTCGATATATACTTTGATATTGATTACCGTGTAGGTAATATGGTCACAATCAATGAGTTTTAAGATAAGACGTCAGATTGCTCATTTACTCGAAGAGAAGGTATTAAAGAAGGAGAAGAGTGGAAGGGAGAGTATTAGTTTAAAGAAAAAGATGCGAAAGAAGGGAGCAGAAAAACACGAAAAAACGAATAGGGAAACGTTACCGGGTTGCGACCAACACAGACACGGAATAGCTAGTAATTTATGGGTGAGACTAATTACCGGAGAATGCCGCTCCTCCAACTCTTCTTTGCTCCTAAGACCGCCGTCTCCGACAGACCACTTTTCAGAGATGAGCTTCTCTCCGTTGGCCCACCTTCGTCTTGGCTTACCTCGCTTCCCTCCACCCCACCCCCCTCTCTCTGGTTCGCCTTTTTTCGCATCCCTCTTGCCACCCCTTGGGCCGCGGATCCGCGTTTAAACGTTAATTCGCGCTGACGCGTCGTCGCAGGAAGACGTCGATTCGATCGAGCTCGTCGCGATCGATCGTGCTCTAAGCGATTAACCACGCGCGCGAGCCTTGTAAATCGTTCCCGAACGATCGTGTCGGAACGCGACAAGTGAGAAAAAGAGTATAGAAAAAGTGGATAGTTTCGAGAAAGAAAGAAAAGAGAGCATCGAGAATGCTTTCGGATCGGATAATGGAGATGAAAAAGAAAACAGGCTTATTCCCACGAGCCATCGCAATAGAGAAGAGGGGTGTCGGAACAATACCGGGGCTCGTCGCGCCGCGCCGTTTCGACGTTAGCCTGACCTAGCAATTTGGAGCAACCCGCTGCTGCTGCTGCTGCTGCTGCTGCTGCTGCTGCCTGCTACTACACGATGCCTCTTCGTTAAATGCCATTATACGTTTCAGTCAGACACCCGGTCGTCGCATGAGTCGTGAATTCCTGAGAACCTGCTCGAAAGCTCCGGCAGCGTGCCGGTGGCCGCCTCGGGACGATTCGGCCGGACCAAAAGCGCGCGCGGACCACGAGAACAGATTCTTCTATTATGACGAGAACGAATCGGAAGAAAAAAGAATCGCTTCTCCGCGCGCCGCTCCGATGGAGCCATACTTCACTCATTCGTTTGTCCTCGACGAAGGCATAGGATTTTTCAACTTCTCGTTCACATATCTTCGTTATTTAATATCGAACAAGCAAACGTTTTTCATCGTCAACTATTTTTATCTATTAACCGTGTGTGTCATGTTGCATCTTTTCAATAAGTTATTTTCAGAATACTGAAACTGATTTAGTAAGGACGATTAATTTCTTAATGATATCGTGACAAATGTGCGATATTCAAAGTATGTATTAGGAGGAAACTGTATCGAAGTGTTTTTGAAAAGAGGCGTAAAAAATGTTGAGGTAGTTTAAAATCGATTCTAACGAAGAAAGGATAGAGGGTGAAGAAAGAACACCCGAAGGAGGACCCGTAGGACAGTTTTTGCCACGAATTTCGCAAGGCCGCGGCGCAGACGGTCGGATCGGGACCCCGTGACCGAGTGATGGACCTCGAAAGCCCGCGTAGTTGGGACCGATGACACAGGATCGGTCCCACGACAAAGAAACACCGAGACGAGACTGGATCTGGGCTGTTTTTCTGCGTCCTGACGTTTCGCCAATTTATTGCGCCTCTACCTGTCATCCGTGTTCCGACGTATCCACGAAGAATTTCGCATTGGTCCGATCGCTGCACTGGCCGAGGCCAATCCTTTCGGTAGTCTCGAACGGAGGATCAGGTAAATTAGCGAAAAAGTCTGTTCGCATGGAAAGGATAACGTGGAACCTTGCACGGGTAATTGTACGGTCTGGCATAAATGGTTGCGATTCGCGACAAACGGTACCGACTCTGGTGGTTCGCAATTCAGGATATCAGCGGGTTATCGAAACGTCGAGAAAAACTGACAGCGCGAGTTACGAGACATCGAAACTAATAATCATATGATTCGCGTTTCATTCCTAATTACCGAAAGCCACCGTGTCGAACGGTTTCGAAACGAACACGTTAATACTGGCCAGATATCGATCGGCAGCCAGTCTCCTACGGTAATAAGCATGCTCTTAAACCGAGATGGAAACCGATTCGAACGATTTCGAATGGGCGTTTACAGCTTCGCCCGTTTCACGATCGAAGTGGGTAAACAGATGCCCGAGTAAAAGCGCCCGTAGCAATTACACGGCACTTACGCGAGGCCCGCGCACAGAAACTTGGCCTCGAGATACCCTCCGGTACATTTTCTCTCTTTCCCTTCCCCTTTTACCCTCTTCCCCGCTTTCGTCCATCTAACCCCTCTTACATTTTATGTCTTCTCTCCGCTTATACTCTCGCATCTCTTCTTATTTGTTCTCTCTGTTTCCTTTCGTCTCTCCCTCCCTTAAACCTCCCGCTCCCGCCTCACTCTTCCCTCCCGAGTTTCCACAATGGTAATTACGAGGCAGTCCGCTCGTAAATTTCACGTAGGCTAAACGCACGCACGGCGAACACCGCGTGACCACTTTCTGTTTCCCATAGAAAATTCTCGCTGAGAGTAGAGACATAGAGAATCGATATGGAAAAGGACCCAACCCGGGTTGACCCGTTCAGGTTAAACGACTCACGTCGCTCCGTGTTCTCCACTTGTCCCGTACTCGTTCTTCCCGTTTCTCTTTTCTCGTTATTACAGAGCGAGCCTTGATATACACGCAAACGTTCTCCATTTACCCTCCCCTCGCGACATTCGTCCGAGATATCGTACACGATCGAGCGCGATCACGACGTTCGATCCGCGCAGCTTTTCGCACGATGAATCGTCGACAGAGCTGCGGCGATCGATGTTAAAACGTGGCCTGGACGATCTCCGTGTATGTTGTCTCCAA